GGGGCCATTCCTCCCGATTTAACGCAGGCTAACTTTCAATCAGCGTCTACAGATTTTACGGTACCTACTCCAGTGCCAGATGCAGATATGATTGGTAGTGTACTGGAAGCGCTTGACAAGTGTGAGGCACATCTTGGGAAATCGGTTGCAGAACGAGGGAAGTTGACGACGTTGAAGAAAGCGTTGGTGTCTTTGTATCATTGTAAGAGGTTGTTGGAGAAGGCGGAGGAGGCAAACGAGGAAAGCCCGCTGTTCGATGAGGCAGGTCAGCTGATGGCTCCGGTTGATGAGGATTCCTTCCGGGATTTTCTGGAAAGCGTATAGCGAGATTATCGTGGATTTTGAGACACTGTCAATGCCCTGTACACAGTTCTCGGGCTGTGAGAGATAACCACTGCGCGACCGGGAAGCGTTCCGGCCAGAACAGAGGAAGAAGCGGAACTCAAGGTATACGGAGTAATGATATTCAACAAGGGGACATGACCAGGGCATGCGTTGATGCATGCATAGCCTAACATCAACATTTAGTAAATTCTGATTCGGAGAAGAAAGTCTGGACCCGAAAACGCAAAACAACAAACAGTTCATTCATAGTTGCTACAATAGTATTCGATGAACAGAGAGGGCTTCGGGCAGACACTGTTGTGGGAATAGGCAGGCGCAAGCACGAGCACTCGGTCTAACGTACGTAGACCACGACTTCCCTATATTCTTCTTTATCTGACTTCTTGTACTCGATGTAATCATTGTCAACAAGCCATTCGAGTTGCTTTTTCATAAATTCTGTTTCATCTCCAACAATTCGCACGATATCCTTCAAGTTCCCAATGGCAGTTTGTAGCATTTCCAGTGTCTTCATTTCTTCATTCCGCTTCAGAATTTTCATGAGCTCTGCACGCGAAGCTTCGATAGACCAACTGGCGTCAAGTGTTCCCGTTTCAGTGCTCTTCTGCTTCGCAATCAGGGCGCGCCCTTCTAGTTCCATCCACGCCGTATACCGGGGCAATGAAATCATGGCCATGTCAGAATTGACTGTGGAAATGCTCAGCCGGTCCGTGGCCGCTATTTGGCCGGTAGGCGGGTCCTTTGAGATGAGCCCGAGATCAGAGACCAAGATTGCCCTCAAGGCAGCATACAATTTGACCCTTGTACTGTCAAGCTTCCCTGAGTTGCGAGGAATCCCTTTTACCAAGAGCTCGTCTTCGAGCTCTTGAAAGAGCATTGTAGAATTGGAGGCAAGAGTGAGCAAAATAGAAGCCTGCAGAATGCCTCCCTTAACTTCAACTAGCCGGCTCTTACCGTTGACATCAAAGGCAACTTCAAGGACAACTTCTCCGATGTTGTGCAAGAAATCATAATTCTTCGATTGTTCCACCGACATCCCGTGCTTAAAGCTAGAGAGAAGTGTGGACAGCTGCGGCGGCAAATCGAAGAGCTCCATGGCGACATCTCGCCAATTCGCTTTGTTGAGCAGTGCAACTCTGCATTTTGCAATCTGCTGAGCACCGGTAATCTGAACATGTTGACCAAGGTTGAATTGATAGTCTCGTATTTTCTCGTCCACGTTCTCTATCATCGCTTTCATGTTGGCTACAAAAGCAGGTCCCATTTCTTCTTCGAGACACTGGACGAAGTATCTCTCAAGGATGTACATATGGGCAGATGATGTCCACCTTTGATCATGGACCAACAACCGGTGTTGAAGATGGCGGGCACAACTTATTTCTAGAACGCTCGGTACAGCAAGAAGGGGCAACACTCGAGATACCTGCTGAAAGTAGGCTGGGATTTTTCTGCTGTCCACAAATTTGACTTCTTCGTTCATCAATCCATTGATATAATGGAAGGCAAGCTTCAAAAGTCCTTCCTTTCCACCCCACTGTGTTGAATTGAGAAAACGAGACACTTGCTTGTCTATCAAACTTTCCAGCACGTCTTGCCTTTCGCCTCGCCCCGAAGCCGCCCGAAAGCGACGTGGCAACTCGCCAAGATCAGAAAAAAGCTCTCGCAAAACGTGAAACGTTGTTTCCTCCAGTTCCAACGGAATCAATTGGATCTGAGACAAATTCTGCATCTCTCGGGGGCATAGGCCTGTGATAAAGCCAAACTTTCGTCGAACCCTCTCCCCAGTTGTTTTGATATCTGCTTTCAATATCATCCAACTGAGAAGTTCTCGGAGACCTCCGAACTGAGCACACGCTTGTGCAAACTGTAGACGTTCTGTATCCTTCATATTCCTGAACCGAGCCTCAAACGCGCCTTCTAATTGGCCGCCGTCGTCTAACTTGACTTCTATTGTTATCTGAAGCAAATTGATGGCGAAGCGACGTAATTCATCATCCCCCCAGCAGTGATCCAAAACCTCTGTAGAAAGGGCATGGCCCTGGTAGTCAAAGTACAGTAGATTGGTCACTTGAATCCATTGCTCAGTAAGCCTGGGAATCAAAGAGAATACCTTCCTTGACCTGATCCCCACCTGGCATTTGAGAAGCTTCTTGCGCAAAGACCTTTTGAAATCGACATAATTCATGGCAAGAACATCGCAGACGCTGTATAATTGGTTGATTTGGATGTAGTTGTCTCTCTCAAAAGCCAGTGATACAAAAGAATTGGGATTCTCAGTTAAAGCCTCTAACTTTTTCAAGATAACTTCTTGGAATGTATCCAAACAGCGTGCAGACTCTGGGCTTTGGCCGCGAAGAATTATGTCATCTGAACCCATGTCATAGGCGTCTTCATGCCATTTGTCACTGTAATACAGGATATCTTGCATCAAGTTTGATACGCGAGACGAGGAGACACCGGGAAACCAACGGTCACTTTCAGCGTTGACGAGATCCCACACTTCTTTCAAAGCACTATCAACCGCGTCTCGCAATATATATCTCCGCACAAAAGCGAGAGTGGAGGTTCTTGCCAAACCCCGCATGAATCTCCTCATTTCTTGGGATGGGGCCTCACGGATGTTTAGGCGCAGCTCGTGATGCTGCCCTGCGAACAAGAAGTATGCCCACTTATGCACAAACTCGTTTTGCAGTTTTTCCTGGATTCTAACATGCGCAGTATACCATGCCTTTGTGTGAAACGAGTGTTGCGGGTGAAGCACAGACCATGTGTTCGTTATCGGGGAGCATTCTCTACACTCTCCTTCTCGTAAGAAAAAAGGAATGCGGGTTCTTGTCTCGGTGCTAATTCTTTGGATTTCGGCGTCTGTGCGGGACAGAAAAGTTGCATCCGTCCATACATTCATGGACATGGCACCCAGAAATCGATCCCAAACGTCTTCAAGCTTCTGCTCGAGATCATGGAACTGCACCCAGGCGATAATTTTGGGCATACAAGTTAGGTGTACTAACTCGATGTACATGGCTTCGACGTCTTCTGGGTCTCCGGCCGCCAAGATTTCCCGAAATTCAGAATTATCCTGCCCTACTTCCTTGCGAAAGTGCTCTTGGGCGACATCCCTCAACGTCTCCCACGTGTCCAGCTCTTTCTTGCAGCAACTCCAGGAGTAAACATCCATCCCTGAAGATTCTCTAATCGGAACTCCGGAAAACATTATCCTCGCCCTTCGAGACATCTTATACATCTCATAATTTGCAATTGTTAAAGTACCTTCGCTGAACCACTTAGAATCACTCCAAATGTCTTGCAGCTTCTCCGTGATGTGTTTCACGTCTTTCGCTTTCTGCACTCGCTGGATGACATCCCTCAAAAACGACAAATGCTCGAGACGATTGCATTCTGTGTACATTGCTGCCAGCTCCGCCTCCGACCCCCGGGTGAGAATAGTAGCAACATCCGCCCGGGGGTTCTTTAAACTATCCCTGGCGGCGGTGTACGCGCGTAGGCTGACCATAGCCCTAAGTTCCTCCTTGGCCCTTTGTGCGATTTTGTCGTTGGGGCAAAATTGCTCGACGTAATCCGTGGCGGTAGTCAAGCTTTTGTCCAGCTCGGCGAGGGCGCCGTCCAGGAACCACGATCCCTGAGCAATACAAAACGTGTTGTAGAAGCACTGGAGAATTTGCTTGTGCCATGTGTGTTGATAAAAGAGCGGGTCGCCATGCTGCACGTTATTCAAGGTCTCGGCGACCTTTTTAAACGTCGAAACGTCCGGCATCTCGGTGGTCTTGAGCTTTTTGATGAAATTAAAGGCAACATCGCGCACGATTTGGACGGCCGGCCGAGTGAACAGGCCCCAGAACAAGTCCTTGCACAGGCGAATGTAACATAGGTGGGGCTCTTTAAAAGGGTCATAGCGGCATTCACCTTGTTTATCCTTGAGCCATTTGACGAGCGTTGTGCACTGAGCCGAGCCGTCGAGGTAGACTGCAATGGTAGCGGCGTCGTTTCCGCAGGCGGCAAGCGCTGCAAAACGGGCGCGAAAAAAGGACTTAAAAACAACGGTGACATACTTGGCAAGGCTTCCGGACGTCTGTCGGGGCGTTGGGTAAGGGGCAAGCGTGGTCAGGAACGGGGCAAGCTCCGTCCGGAGAACGCGGGCCCAGGCGGCTTCAGGGTCTTGGGGCATGGCGAATATGGAGGAAGACGTATAGTTTGGGGGGAGGGAGGGGTGGAGGTGGAAGATGAGGAGGAAGAAGGATGAGCTCTTTGTATGATGGGTTTGAATTGGCGGAACGGGCGTGAGAGAGTTTGAATGCTCGCGTGAGAGGGGCACGAGAGCGGGGGAGCGGGAGAAGGGCGGAGGAAGGCGGGCTGGCGTCCATGGCGTGGAGGGTGCACGAGAGCATTTGTGGGGTTGGGAAGTGGATGTTGAGGTGGGTGTTTTTGTGAAGTGTTTGTTAACTCTTAAAGGTGTGAAGATGGTCGTCCTTGGTTTGCAGCAATTGCTCTGGTGCGGATACCGAAGATACCTCGCTCGCACGTGTGCACGTGTACAACTGTACACATGGCCACGTGTATATGCCACGTTTCCACGTTGGTGGCGCGGCCAATGAAATCGATTCCCGCTTTTTCCCGTTTATGTTTTTCGGCTACACATGACCCTTCCCCGTCTCCTCCGCGGCCGTTCTCCGCACCTCGGCCGCCCACCACCACCACCATCACCCCCCACCAACCCCCCCGCCGCCGCTTCCGCCATGACGTCCCCTCCATCCCCCCCGCAATCGCAGCGCGGCTCCAAGCGCCCACGTCCCCCCGCGGACGAAAAGGGGGACAAGCCCGACAAGGAGAAGGACCGGGCGTGCCGGTACGACTCGTCGCTCGGCCTTCTCACGACCAAGTTTGTCAACCTACTCAAGGCGTCGACGGACGGGGCGCTGGATCTCAACCTAGCGGCGGAGAAGCTGCAGGTGCAGAAGCGGCGGATATACGACATCACCAACGTGCTGGAGGGCATCGGGATCATCGAGAAGAAGTCGAAGAACAACATCAAGTGGCGGCACCAAGTGGAGACCGGGCGGTCCTGCGAGGCGGAGCTGGCCGAGCTCTCCGCAGAGCTGGAGTCGCTCAAGCGGGAGGACGACGCGATGGACCAGGCGATCGCGGTGTACCACGGCAAGCTGCGCGCGCTGGCGACGGGGGAGCAGTGCGCGGCGTTCGCGTACGTGACGCACAAGGACATCAAGGCGATCCCGGAGCTGCGCGGCGACACGCTGATTGCGATCAAGGCGCCACCGGGGACGGAGCTGGAGGTGCCGGACCCGGACGAGGGCATGCCGTACGGCGAGCGCAGGTACCAGATCTTCCTCAAGAGCACGGGCGGGCCGATCGACTGCCTGCTCGTGAGCCAGGGCGGCGAGGAGGAGGAGGCCGAGGAGGAGGTGATGCGCGGCGAGGAGGACGTGTCCGGCTGCTGGAGGCTCTCGCCGCCCCCCATGGATAAGGAGTTCTACTTTGTCCTCGACGACGAGGAGAAGGGCAAGGGCATTGCAGACCTCTACGAGGAGGTCATGACCGCACCCGAGGCGGACGACAAAGTCGAGGTCGAGGTTCCGGGCGTGTGAGCGCGGTGGCGTGCCCGCGGCGTGTGCAGCGACGTGATGTAAAGTATGGATTAAACGCCGGCGGCGGCCGCCGGGCGTCGATGCGTCGCAAGTAGGGCGCCGGCTCCCGCGGCGTGCCGGTGCCCCCCGCCAAGGTAGCGGCGGGCGGAGCGGCGGCCAGCCGTGCCGGACGGCGGCGCGGGTAGATTTTGTGAAAGGGCGTGCGTGTGGCC